TGTTTTTTTTTTAATCCTATCGATAACTTTTCTCATAAAGAAATAACCACATACAACAAATTCTATTAATGGTAATTTTCTTGTTTATTTAGAAATGAAAAGTATTCCACAATTTTATGTTTGATTAATAATAATTATCATCGGCAGAAATAGATATCTTCATAAAAATCTTGTGTTATTCTTTTAGCTTGATAATCATCAATAGTTTCCTTTGATTCCATAACAGCGTCTATTGTTACAATTTCTTTTGAAGAAAAATCTGTAACACATATATAGAATAAACATCGAGTATTGTTGTTATTTTTCGATAAAAGATATCGTAAAATTCCTTCAAAATCATCATATACTGGACGCATTCTAAGACATTCTAATTGAGAACAAAGATGAATGAAAAATTTTATTTCTTTAAATGCATATATTGAATTAATATATTAAATTTTTAATTTTATTTCTAGTTGATACTAATTGAAAAATTTCAGTTTGTTGAATAGATGGTAATTCTTCCTTATCAAAACATACATCTTCAACACTCAAAGTATAAATATTCGATGTTAAATATAATAGTTCAATCATTGTTTTGAAGAGAAATGATTTAACATTGATATTTAATTTAGTAAGTTGTATCAATGGAACAATATGATTGAGAATAATTGAAGGAGAATTTCTATCGATATTAATACTATTATAAGAGAGAGTCAGTTCAGTTGCATTTGAAAAATAATTTCTATAATCATCATCTATCGTTTGTTCTTGTTTGATATAAACATGATGAACGGAATTTATACTGTTTTTTCGATAATTTTATATCATATATTTGCCTAGATTCCCATATAATGTATAAGATTTTCTTCTTCAAGGCAAAAATAATATGAACATATAGTTATATAAATAATATTTGTCTATTATACCTGTAAAGATTTGTAGAAAAGAGAACTCGATAACAATCATCATCTGCTGATTCAAGAGTAAATGTAAAGAATCATTGTCGTTCAAGTCAGAACTCACGAGGGAACATTCCCAACTGTCACATCGCTTTTGAGTTGAGCATATGCGCATCATGTAGATCCTAATGATCTATGAATCCTCTGGAAAAAGTTCGTGCTGCTAGCTTACCACTGCCGAGATACTGCATTTTTACTGTATGTTTAAGCAAAAAGCCGTGGTCCCCCTCAGGAACACTNAACGAAAAAAAAATTTCTTTCCTGTACAAAAATTGTACTTCTAATGTTATGGTCTTGTCTTATCGAGAGAACAAAAGATTTCTGGAGTTAAGCACAACTTTTGTAGAGAATTTAATTCTTTATAGACTTCTCCTTTGAAAATAAACTTTCATTCTGATTTTGATTCCTAAAAATCGAAAATAATGATACATCTATAGAAAAGACTAATCATAATTAGCAATTAATCCCACTTTTAATTAAATATTCTTGAAAACAATGGAAATTTTTCCATTCAGTTTTTTCTCCTCTATCTAATGATATATTTCGACTTCAGCTTTTGTTTTATGAAGTTTGAAAAAGAAAAGGTTTTCTGGAAAACCTAGGTGCTCTAGGTATTTTGAGATTTTCAAAGTTTTGACAATATTATTTTTACTTTTCAAGTATAGCAGTGCATAGAGAATTGTTTTCTCTATCGAATAAGGTATGACTCTAAATATTTTGAAATATTTTCATGGAGAATAGAGATAGAATAAAATGAAAACTAAAAGTGTACGAATAATTTTTTTGCGCAAAAAGTCCAGTGGTTTCTTGAAAAAATTTGAAGAATAGATAAAAACGTTTTTGAAAAGCGCTCGATTCTTCCTCGATGAAAATATAGACTTCGTTCTATCGAATGATATAATAAAAGTTGAAAATATGTTTTTTCTTCATTGTGAAATTTAGTTCACAAAATAGACGACATAAGGTGTACGAATAATTATTTTACATTCTGTATATATGCTAGAACTAAATCGTATCCGGACCGATCATACCATTTCCATTCAAATCAGCACCCCATTTATTTTCAACTTGTTTGGTGATAAAATCTATTTGATAAACGCACGTACAAATCATTCATTTACAACGGAGAGGCAGAACAACTATTGAAGTTTTTTCACAATAGTTTTCTTTTGAATCACAGATTCTCCTTGGCTTCTTCTCATTTAACTTTCTGATATTATTTTTGAAGTCCATGCGACAAATTTGATGTTGCACCTTCAAGCTTCTTTATCCAGCACTGAGATACAGCCCTGGACAAAAGTAACGACCCCTCTGAAGTGATACCAATTTGAATGATTTTGAGCTAATATTTTGGATACATGTGAGTCATGCTTAACCCTGATCGCAAGCACCAACCCGGCACCAATCGATTGCTGTATAATGAAGTTATCCATTGAACATTGGTTTCGCCTTGCAACGGCTATATTTCAGCTATAACAGGACATTTATTTCTGCGGGACCTCTTATTTGAGAGCCCGACATTGAAGTTGTCTCCAGTATAAATTTCACTGATATTTATCGAGTCGTTGAAGACTGATGATCATTTTATTGTAATCATCGATGTACAAGAAAACCATGTGATATCACTATGAAATCCATAACTCAGTGAAAGTTTAATAGACCCATCTGAAAATTTTCGGAGAACTTTCATCGTGGTTGACCATTGTTTTCTGAAAGTTTCAGAAGAAAACAGTGTACAATAAAGGAATGGCACACTGATGATCATTCAGTTATTGTCAAGGCGCCAGAGACTCCAATTCTCAAGCAAATGTGTTTATTTTTTTAGTAAAGAAAGAGTATATCTTGAGCTTCATTTTTATACTAAAATATCGATAATTACTCGTGTGTTCGATAAAATAAAGGAAAAAGTTTCATAGCTACTCTTTTTTCATGTTTTCAGCAAATATAGGAAAATCAGTTATGGGTTTGGGTGTAGGTATGATTGAAAATAACACTCACACCCACACCCACACCCACCCACACACCCCACACCACACCCACACCCATCGAATGATGATGAAGTTCTGTTAACAACTTTTTTCAGTGAATTTGTTTTTTATGAGAGACACCGTAAATGGTTCGTTAGATTTAAATGATTAGTCAGGCTTTTTTTATTGAGTGTCTATAATGTGTCTCAAATGCTTTTGTCTAGATGTTTTTACGTTTTATATCACTGTGTATTGAATTTCATCGACTATTTTCCTTGTATATCGGATTAATACATCGACTTTTTATATCTGAAGGTCAAACTAAGAAACACCACGGAAACCCAGAGTTTTTAACCAAAATATAACCTTATTGCACTAAATCGCGGCTGAGAAAAACCTGAATGGTTGAAACAATCCACCCTCCCCCCCCCCTCACACTACGGCCAAAAAAGTCGGGTTGGCTAAAACGGGAACCTCAAAAAACCTGATTGGTCGAAATCCCGATCACAAATAAACTTACTGGAAGAAATCGTGCGCCAAAACAGTCTGATTGGCCGATACGATGCTCCCCTCCAATATGATTGGCTGAAACACTCTCCCTCCCCCTTCCTTGTAGATAATCTGATTGGTTACGGTTGTCTAAGTTAGAAACCTAAGCTGAATGCATCTCAACTGTCGCCCATAAAGAAAGTCTTCATTCAGGAAGTTTATGTTTTTTTGACCTCTCTCCTGATTGGCTTGGTCGGACAAACTTTAAGCATTTTTTAAGCTCCGTATAATCCTTTCTTTCAGAAAAGGGAATAACAATTAGGAATCAACATTAATATTAATGCATTGTGTTTGATTGCATATACTCATTAAATCTTGTGTTCGCATCACAAATATATTGAAGAAAAGCAATAGAGCTGATAAATTGATGTTGGCATTAATGGTAGAAATCTAAACTATTTTGATTAGGAAGTATAATGGTTTCATTCTATGAATGGAAAGAGAAACAAATTTAGCAGAATTTCATATATTGTGAACAGTGTATGTGCTCTTTTTATTTCTTAGTCAATTAAATATTTACAAGAAAAATTTATTTGCTTTCCAATATCTGTGTTTTTGAGTTGAACGAAAAAAGATAAGTCCTATTAAAGAACGACATCTACCTTTCAATTAACGTTGAAAGTGATTATTTTTATTGATCTTTTCGTTCTTATTATTTATCTTTTTAATAAATTGATTACTTTTACTTTTTGTTCGATTATAACTGTGGATTTCGTTCTTCTTCTTATTATTATCTAATATGTAGGTGTTTAACTTTGAATATAATATAAACCATCGGAACATGTTAATAGGAATTGTTCTGGCATTTGTTTTTGTAGAACTTTTCACAACGCATCCTTTAAAAACAGATGAATATTTTATAATTTATGCATCCTGAGATATATACAAAATAAAAAGTGTGCAAACATTTTGGAACATCCGATAAATACTTGATCACTAGTTCATAATACAATCGTTGCTTTTTTGTTTTTCGATTTGTACATGACGTGTTTATATATTTTAGTCCATTTCAAACTGATTACTCAGCACATAGCTTGATCAAACATGTAGTTTAGTTATTCATAATAAATGTCAAAGAAAGCATTAAGATAAATGCTAATCAGTTTCTATTATTCTATTCTTTTATATAAAATATGTTCGAGACGTGATCAAAAATTCTTAAAAACAATTACATTGGTTGATTTCAAAAGATTTATCATAACATTCTTATGTTTAGATTTTTATTATGAGAAGAAAAAATGTCATCCATTAGTCTCACGTTTGAAAGGGTAAGACCAGACTCAAAACTTGTATAGATACATTCAACTAAGGTTTATAGTCTGTCTGCATGTAAGTTAATTTTGTCGAGCCTCAAGTCTTATGAAACACTCGGTGTAATGGCAACAATTATTGTTTATTATAAAATGTATTAGTTGAATAAAAGGTTATCAATTAAGTGAGGATTGATTAATAAGAGTGTTTTGCAAATGAAAAGATTAAAATAATAATTGTGAATAAATGAGAGAATCTAAATCTCACTAAGAATTAAGTTATTTTGAAAAATCTAAAAGTAAGTTTGTCTTTCCATCCATCCACCAGGATGTTTCCGAATGAGATGTTTACGCACTTCATCATAGATCATAATCAAAAAAGCAGAGAACAATGCCGGAAGCCACCAGTGAAATCTATTTTGAAATTGAATTTGAAAAATATGTTAAAAATCATGACAATTCTTACTTCATTGGATAAATATTGAGAGCTGTACCTAAGCAAGGCATATAGGAGACAATTGCAACTAGGATAATTTCAAATATAAGCACACCATTTAATATGCGATTCCTATTCAATTATAAATATATATGTTTCGTATCGGGTTGGTTGGGTTTTTTACAGTAAACTTACTTCATGCCTTGTTCTAGAATAGAATTTCGTCGAGTTTTGCATATGATCAATACAGCCCATTGACAAATGACGATAGCGATAAAGAAAGCACTTTCACATGTAAATTCAAGTTGTTTGCGTTGTTCATAGGTCTTAAAAAACAAGTTTTATTTGTGTTGAATAAAAGAAGAAATACGAACCCATTCTCGATTATAGGAATCTTGAACATCATTGACATATTTTGATTCCCATGACTTTCTCAAACCAAAAAGACGCGATGGTAAAAAGCCGTTCTCGGCCATGATCAAAAAATAGGTAAATAATCCAGCAGTAGCTTGAATGAATCCAATTGGTCCGTGGGTCATCAATATAAGACTAGAAAGATAATCAATATGTTTACTCTTCGATTGAATGTGATATACTCTTTACCGTTTGTTTACAAGTCGATCATGTTGTGGATTTCTTGGTGGTCTCTTCATAATATCTGTTTCTGCTCCTTCATAAACTAATGAGATGGCCGATATTATAGTTAACAGATCGATAAACAAAATAGTACTAGTTCCCAATGCTAATGGTATACCCATTAAAAAATACATGAGAAATGGAGTCATTTTGGGAATGTTCGATGTCAACATATAGGCAATTGATTTTTTTAAATTGTCAAAAATCAAGCGACCTTGTTCGACACCCGTTACAATCGAAGAGAAATTGTCATCCAATAGAACCATATCTGCTACTTCTCTATTCATATCCGAACCGGTAATACCTGCATGTATCGATCAATCTATTCGAGATAATGAAAAAAAAAGAAATACACGAACGAACCCATAGCAATTCCGATATCCGCTTTTTCCATAGCTGGTAAATCGTTCACACCATCGCCTATCATAGCCACAATAGCACCTTGTCGTTGACATGCTAAGCAGAAAACTTATTGTAATATGTTTCTATTGATAATATCATTCTCACCTTCAACAACAGTAATTTTTTGTTGAGGAGATGTTCGTGCAAAGACAATCTCTGTATGATTTCCCAAAAGTGCGTCAATTTCAACTGATGACATAGCATTAAGATCAGTACCATGAATAACACATGCCTTAGCGTCACGTGGATTGACTTCATTCAGAGGAACGCCCGCACGTTCAGCGATATCTTCGACTGTTTCTGAGTCTTGCGAAATGATGCCCACAGCACGTGAAATGGTCTTAGCCGTGATTGGATGATCACCGGTCACCATGATTACTTTGATTCCAGCCGAACGACATTTAGCTATTCTACTCTCAAGAAAAAAAAGATTAATGTTGTGTAAAATCATGTATGGTTTAGCAAGATACGCAAAATCTACATATGATTCCGTGAAATCCTGTAGAATATTGTGCAACGCCATATTTTGAGATTATACGAATATTTTATATCACTCTCATAATTTTCAGTGTCGTCTCTCATCAAAATTTCACCTGCCGAAAGTTTATTACAAGAGTTGTGAAACACTTCCAAATAATTGGTGAAAAAACAGAATCCAAAAGCAGACCGAAACGAACGGAACTTGAACGATTCAGTTCGATTTCATTCGTATTGAATCAATTCTGAATCCGTTTTCGGAGGTTTCACTCAAACCTGAAAACTTTCGGATATCGATGGATAGATACTTTGTTGAGTAATCATATCGATAGGACAGTAGAAATAGATAATAAGATAGACACTCTACCAGTTAGTAAGTTAGTCAGATATTTACAGTGTCAGTCACAAATCCTGAGATAGGTGAAAGTTCAACTAAAGTCACATACATGTATAAGTCGAAAACTCATTTCGACTATTCAATTTGTAAACATCTAATAGATAGATAGGTAGTTACGTATGTAGTTAAATAAATAGATACACACATACGCAGAGTATAGTCTCATTATTGCAGTTGTGCGACAGGAAAGATTTAAAGAAAAAATAAACCATATGAAGATTTAGTATCTGTATCCGATAGCCAATCCTTCATGGTTTGGTAGGGCGCGATATTTTTTTACAGCGTATAAAACAAAAGCGAGAATGAAAGCAATGCAAATAAAAATGGCGAGAATACTGACGCTTCAGGAACAGCCGCTCTTGGTGGATCGATCATCGACATGAGACCGAGGAAACGAAGATTGTCAAGTGGAAAATTAACTTGCTCCTCGTTGAATTGATAGCCTTTCGGATGATCATCACTTGACAGACGCAAATCACAAAAACCTAATACTCGTTCTCCCAAACTGCCCAATTCCATATAAGCTTGGTTGAATGCATTTCGCCAATCTGTAGATATATTAAATACAATGGCTAATATTTATCACCAAGTAAAACAAAACTTACAGTCGTTAATTTCAACATCTGTGCCATCGATAAATATACTTGAACATCTTTCAAGAATTCGTTCAGGAGCTCCTTTCATTACCAGTAAATAAGGATGAGAATCGACTTCACTTTTATTGTCAATATGCACTTCATGAATTGATACTTGATATTTATTTGTTGAATTAAATGGAATTTCACACACTTTTTGATTGATCTCACGAAATTTGATCACATTGCTAGTCTAAGCAAATTAGAAATGATTAGAGAATAGTCGATTAAAGAAAATCTACTCACAGATAGTTCAACACATTTAAGTAAAGCCGCTTCGGACTCATCACCATAACATTGACGTTGTAACACTGGCTGCGCTAAATTTTCTGGATCTTGTTTGAAATCAGCTCGATTACACAATATAGCACAACGCGCCAGAGCCAACCAACCAGGTGCATTCTTGTCAAAGGTGGCATCTTAATTTCTCAAATATCATTTTTTCCTAGTTCTTCCTTAACGAGAAATAACTCACTTTGTTGATATTTACTAGTATCCGCTTCCACGATCTGATTATCAAACCACATATGAGCAACTGCCATTCGATTTTGTGTCAATGTACCGATTTTATCCGCACAGATGATTGATGTCGAACCGAGAGTTTCTACAGCTTCCAAATTTTTCACCAAACAATTCTTTTTCGCCAATCGTTTTGCTGCTAATGTTAAACATATCTAAAGCAATAGTCAGAAAAATATTTTATTTCTAATTCCTTTTCAATAGTCGTTATTTACCGTCACAGTGGCAAGAAAACCTTTTGGCACAATGGCAATGACAATACCAACGAGAAAAATGATTCCTTCGATCAATGGATAGCCGAGAATGAGTGCGATGATAAAAAAGGAAATGCCCATAAAGATGGCTATACCAGTGATGATATGGATAAAGTGAACGATCTCTTTGGTAATTGGCGTATCACTTTTGGATAGACTCGAAGCATGGTTCATAATACGACCCATTACGGAATAATCACCCGTACGAATGACAAGACCTTTGGCGATGCCTGACTCATTCATAAATATCAAGAAAATATTGTATAAGAAATATTGAACTAACCGTTCGTTGCAAAGGTGCCGAAAAAAGCCACATTTTTCGTTTCCAATACATTGTGATTAGTCAATTGAGGAGAACGCGATTGTGGTTCTGATTCTCCAGTCAAGTAAGAATTGTCGACTTTGAAGTCATGCGATTCGAGAATGCGAATGTCGGCTATCCTTGCAGAAAGTCAAATGAAAGCGCATTTTATTAAAAGGAACTAACCGGGCACTCGATCACCAAATTTGATAGTGACAATATCACCCACTACTAATTCTTCAGTTCGTATATTCGTCAGTCCACCATCACGAATAATAAGCGCTTGCTACATCGAGAAAACAAGATTACCATATAAAGACGTGTAAACTATATACTCACCGGAGGGATCCTATAATGCAGCCGAACACCAATGAAAGGGATTATTTCAAAGAAATTATCTTACATGTTTTTGAACGAATCCACGATTTGTGAACATTTTGCATCTTGAAAATATGAAAAAGAACCAGTAACAATTACTATAACGATCAACGCTATACCAAGCCATAACTAAAATTTTTTATAAAATGTACATATGAAAAGAAATGACTGTTTATATGTACATTGTCACTTGATGCATCTTCATGATATGTGAGAACTGCAATGCCGTGTGTAATAAAGCACAAAATAGCACCAATCCAAAGTAGAAACCCAAAGTAGCCAAACATATGTCTACAAAATTTTATCCATTCTGGTTTTGTCTTCGGCGATGATAACGCATTGGGACCATCACGATTAAACGCTTTTTGAGATTCGGAATATGATAAACCCTGTACAATGATAAAAATTTCGCATCGAATTAATTATTTGTCACACTTACTGTTTTTGGATCAGTATTATAGCGTTGATAAAGATCAACAAGATCCAGTTTGTGATCATCCTAAATTCACAAAATAAAAATCATTTTTCGATTCACTTTTACTTTGAATGCATAATTTTAAAAAAATGTTCCATAGATGATCAATAGAAGAAAATGAAACAAGATACTGTTTGCATAACAAAGTAAAAATTGGATTGATATTTTTACTTACAATTTCCATTCCTTGTTTGAAGTTGTCTAAATTATCTTCTTCCTTCTCTAGCTTATTCTTGCTCTTTGAAATTGTCATTTTCGTTATTTCATTTGATTTCTTTTTAGATTCTTCATCATCGTCATTGACGTTATTTATCGACGATTGTCCGACGTCTCTTCTGCGAGCCTGTAGATTTTTTTTTCAGAAGAGCAAACATTTCAATATAGATAGATTTATTCAAAAAAAAAACCTACCATAAGAGACTTTGTTTGTAAATGAAGGTGATGCTCACACCAATAAATGTAAGATTGCAAAATACAAAATTCAAAAGTAGATAGTCGGTAAAGAGTGAATAGGTTTAGTTATAGAAATTTGTGCAAACAAGTAGAGTCCTAATGATTGTTTAAGAACCTGCTTCCCATCAAGCAAAATTCTACTTAGAATTCAAAAATCACAGCAGAATTCAAACTGCATTACAAAGTATAGTGCACGGCACGGATTGGTGAATTTCTAGTACGGAATGCTAAGCGCAATGATGTTTAACATCAAGAAAAATCAGCACATAGATGAGTAAAATCACGTGATGGTCAATGAACTAGTGCTGGATTCGACAAGCGTGCAAATCATAATTCCTATTATATGTTAGCGAAAGTTTTTGCGGAAAATCGAGCAATTTTACATTTGTGACAGTTTGCAGTTGTAGTGCCTGATATTTCTTGAGTACTACGAGCAGGAAAGGTGGGTTGTTCGTCGAATTTTTTAAGTCCAAATGCTTCACGTTCAAATTTACATGGATGATATTTGGGTGATTTTATAACATTGTTTGTAATAATGCATGTATGTAGACGAGAATGACAATGAAGTAATTAATATCTTTTACAACGCCAGTACACCTTTTCACTTGTTGATCGGTTCATTATATATGAATATCCATTAACATCTAATCGTGAGTTTGTTTTCCTTGTGACATTACTAGATATTGTTGCCATATTCAAAAATAGAAGTTTTTCCAAGAAAAAAATCATTCTGTTATGAATTATGCCAGTTAGATATGCTTTTTTAACACGTTGATCACTAATAATTGGATCAAGTTAAAAGTATTGATTACTTTTCGTAATCTAGTTTTATAATAGATTGCATTGCTATTGATGATACTTCTCATTTAATAAACTCAGTGTATTACGCTGATGTTTGTTGGTATTGAACATTTTCGTGATACTTATTCTTTGTGCTTAACATTCCGTGCTGAAAATTTCGTTTCCCTGCATTCATATAGACTAGCTTTACTCTGAGTAAAATGCGCGATAACCTCCAATTTCGACAGATCAACTCTAATTTTATATAGGATTATTTCAACTGAAAAAGCTTATCAGCGCCACTACTATGTAATTAAAATGCGAAGTTCACATATCTCTCACGATTTTTAAGAAGTACTGTAAACATAGAGACGAAGCGATTAAATGCGTCAAACAACGCAATTCAGCGATTTACATTCACAATTTTGATCAAATCGATGGAATAAAAAATAACTGAATATCTCTGTAATAGGTAAGTGTCTGTAAGAGAGAGAGTGCGCCATAAGACCATCCATGATCGTCGGAGAAACCTTTTTTATTTTTCGATTTTAATATTTCCAACAGAAAAGTCGGGTTCAGCCATAACCAAATTCAAAACATTGGACCATTTCGTTTTATCTATGCATAAGGTGAGCTCTTAAAATCGATGTGTTCGGGTATGTTTAGTATTTTGATATTATCTCATGAACGACTTGATTGTTCGATCTGAACGACGTCTCAAAAGATACATGTGTAAATAAAAATAACAAAATATCTGATTATAATCCATTTTAATCGCAATGACCACAGAATAAGTAAATACTATTTGATATGGTATCTTCAAGTTTGATATTTTGGATTTGATTATGGTTGAATCCGACTTTTTGTTTAAGATATTAAAATCGGAAAATAAAAATGATTTCTCCGACGATCATGGATGATCTTGTGGCGCATCCTCTCTCTTAAAGACTTCTGTTTACCCTCCACTATTACTTGTATTGATGGTGGATATTCTGTTTTGCAGTTGGTGTGTCTGCTCAGCTTTGATGTGCGTGTGCAGTGATACGCGATCAAAACTGAAAGCAACGTGATGTAAATAAATAAATGATGACTATCGTACTAACATTTTTTTTCTCTCAAGAAGAAGCAGAGAATCGATGACGAAAGGAGGTGTATGCATACAAAAAAAATATAATGAGTTGCATGTGCCGTGATATGTAACACGCTCTGTGACACATTAGAGTGCGATACAGAGACACAACTGCGACACAATTTTTAGTAGTAAATGCAAAAGTTGTTTCATCCTGTGATACTGTTATAAAGAGTGAGCCATAAGTCTTGGTCGCTCTCAGAAAAATTGCTCTTTCTCCCTTATAACAAATCCAAAAAAGCTCAAACTTTGGTATATAATTCCTTGTAACATGAGAAATATTATCCTAAATTTCCACATGTCTACCCCTACAAATAACAGAGATACATATATTAGCATTTTAGATCATTTTCTATGTCATAAAAACAACAAATCATCAAGGATTTTCATGGAAACATGAAGAAAATTGCATAAATACTGCTATTATAATAAATCATACTATTTTTCTAGTATATATTTAATATAGTAGCATTATTTATGCAATTTTCTTTATGTTTCCATGAAAATCCTTGATGATTTGTTGTTTTTATGACATAGAAAATGATCTAAAATGCCAATATAGTTTGAGTTTTTTTGGATTTGTTATAAGGGAGAAAGAGCAATTTTTCTGAGAGTGACCAAGACTTATGGCTCACCTTTTATGTATGTATCTTCACTTCTCTTTATTTGAAGCGAAATCAAGACTACTGTACAACTGATAGCGAGAGTGTAAAAGAAAGTTAGACGCAATATCTAGTTGTTACTAAACGTCAGTGGCAGGAATGCAATGAAATCGTCAATCTGACTAGCATATATGTATCGAGGGAGAGTAGACGAAGAAAATCGAGCAGATGAAAGGAAAGGAAAAGGAAAAGGAAGACAAGAAAAGAAATATGGTAATAGTCAATTAGTCTACTAGCTGATGCGGATGACTCATTTCATCATTTTTCTAACACGAATCTATTAATTCATTGGTTCAGGTCATTTTATAAAAGGATCAACTAAAAAGATAAGTTCGTCGAAAAACTAGATATCGTTTATAACATCGCTATATCATGTTTTTCATCTTAATCATTTTTATTTTCTCTTTTTTTTAGTATCATTGACTAGCGTCATCTTTATCATTAATAACCAAACTAAAAAAAAACAAGTAAAACTAGATTACATTCAAGTGTCACTCAATTGCGAAATTGGGTGCGAAGTAGGGAACTGCAAAATCACTTTTTTCTGGTCCCGGTCCCGACGAATTTTTTCCAGTGGTCCCGGTTCCGTTCCGCTCCAGGTGAAATTTTTCTGCTGGTCCCGGTCCCGAACCCGATTTTGATAGAAATTTTGTGTCGAGTGATTCTCATTCATAGACTCGGTTATATTTCTAAAATGAAGCAACTCTAGTCTTGTTGTTCGTGCGTATTGTTTACGCATATTCTAATACCGATAGAATTATCGAGAAATTGCGATCCTTGAAACCAACATCAGAATGTATAAAAGATTTTTTCCAATGTAGATAAAATAACCAATTCTAAAATCTCTAGTAGAAAAAACTAAATAAGAAAAAATTTAGCCTAGTATCTGTTAAAAAAAATTTACGGGACCACATGGAAATTTCAGTCCCGTCCCGGTCCCGGTCCCGGCGGGACCGGGACCGGGACCACTTTGCAGTACCCTAGTGCGAAGCTCGAACTGTCGACTAACGACAAGTCGAGAAATCATCAAAACTAATTTCGAGGGTGTGGGGTGAGGGTGTGGGTGAGGGTGTGGGTGTGGGTGTGGGTGTAGGTGTGGATATGGGTGTGGGTCTTCTCCTGATGCACAATCACACCCACCACACTCACCACACCCACACCCCATACCCACACCCACACACCCACACCCACATCCACACCCTTCTCATAGAGTCAGGAGACTCGAAACTCAATTCATATGTTCAGCATTTGACGCAAATGCTAAATTTCCTTGGATCAAATGCATAAAACAATTTTGTCTTTTGTTTCACTAAATCTCTGTCGACCTCGAACAATAACAGTGAAAGAAACACTAGAATTCAATCACTTTCATTTAGTAACATCCATTTAAAACAGGATCGAATGCTTGTTTTTTGACAATAGTTTCTTCCTTCATTTGTCTCAATCGCGTTGGTGCAATTCTGATGAACTGAACTGTGAGAGAAGCTGGGCGATTTCAAAAAATGCACTACAACAACTTCTAAACTTTGTTTGTCATCACAATCGTCCATATTTCTTACATCAGGCATTACAACGAGCAGAATATGTCTCATTCGAAATCCGTCAGATGGTTCGTACAATGATGGAAGCAATGCGAAATTTTCTTCGAAATCAAGTTTTGCACAAAAGCAGATCCTCATATAAACGAATTGAGTTATATGGGAAACCTATTCAACGACCTTCGGTTTTATGCTGTTCATGTGATCGCGTCATTAGACAACGCGAAAACTTTTGGATCAATTGTGATGTTTTACACAAATATCGAGATCAATGTGAGCATTGTCAATGGACGTCAAAGCAGCACATCATGGTTGATTATCAACTCGATTACCAATTCAGGGGTCGCAGCAGCACACTTTCCTGATTTCTTCCTGATTTTTTTTGAGAACGTCCTGATAGGTCCTGATTTTCTTTGGTTTTCCTGGTTTTCCTGACTTCTGAAACTAGCAGCCAATGAGTGCAATGAATTGCTGAAAATAATAAATGTGCGACTTCTTTCGCCATCATAGATCACTTATCTTCCTTTCAACCCAATTGTGAGTGTTTGTTTCAATTGATAAATGAAAAAGAATTTCATAAATTTCATTTATTTATTAACTACAACTTTACAATTTAATTTATTTCTTCATTTTTTTCGTAATTGATTAAGTGAATCATTGTTTTGTACAATTTCAGTATTTACAGTGATAAGCTTCTTCTTGCCACTTTCTATAAGTATACCAGCTGTCTCAATCTCACAGAAATTCTTTGAATTGATTGCCGCCTTGAGTCGTTGGTCGCCTTCTTCGAGTAAACGTGTTGCATTATTGAGCTCGGCTTGTAATACTTTTTGTTTTTCAAGTAGATCCGATTCCTTTTCGGTCAAAAGCTCATCTTTGCTTTTCGCCGCTTTTGCTAAATCATCGGCAATCTCCTTGTCTTTTCTTAATTGCTGTTGACGCTCCTAATCAGTTCGATATCGAGAATAAAAGTTTTTTACATTGTCCAGCAGACTCGGTGTGATTGAAACCTAGAAAAAATTGAACATTAACGCGTGAAGGTTGTTTCGAAAACATTCAAAATATTAGAAATCATATCAAAATGTTTTCAACTTAGAAATTCTAAAGTACGCATATATTAGAAAATGACTCATTGATTTGTTTTATCTTACTTGATGTGGCTTTCCATCGGCGAAGAATTTAACACCCGCTGAAGTGGCTCGTAAGCCACTGATGGACTGTTCGCTGAGAGACGCTCGTTCATCAGAGACGAGATGTCGATTTTCGCTGAAACCTCTCTCTACCTCTGCATTTCCATGAGAGAGAGACAGAAGACATTTAACAAGTTTTATGAGTACGATGAATTGTAGAGATCCAGTTGAAGATTTAATCAAGAAAACGTGACGCCAATATATGTCGATTAGATGATAAACAGTAGATTCATTTTGATTATCGCTGTCGGCCTTGTCTTCCATCCATTCGTCTGAAATATCTGCCATTTCGTATGCACGCCATTCGACACCAAGTCGATCAATTTCTTCTTCGTTGAATAAGAATGGCATTGAACGTGCGATGCACACAATGCTAGTTCGAGATGCACTATCTTTTCGAAGCAATGGATGCAGGCATTGAAGATGTCGGAGTAAGTTATTGTTGATAGGCAACGTTCGAATCAGTTCTTTCTGTAAACAACACGACATTTATGTTAGTGAGAATAAGCATTGATAAATAGCTACTTACTGTAATCGTGCAATAAATCGCACGAACATCTTNAATTGATAGCCTTTCGTATGATCATCACTTAACAGACGCAAATCACAAAAACCTAATACTCGTTCTCCCAAACTGCCCAATTCCATATAAGCTTGGTTGAATGCATTTCGCCAATCTGTAGATATATTAAATACAGTGGCTAATATTTATCACCAAGTAAAATAAACTTACAGTCGTTAATTTCAACATCTGTGCCATCGATAAATATACTTGAACATCTTTCAAGAATTTGTTCAGGAGCTCCTTTCATTACCAGTAAATAAGGGTGAGAATCGACTTCACTTTTATTTTCAGTATGCACTTCATGAATTGATACTTGATATTTATTTGTTGAATTAAATGGAATTTCACACACTTTTCGATTGATCTCACGAAATTTGATCACATTGCTGGTCTAAACAAATTAGAAATGATGAGAGAATAGTCGATTAAAGAAAATCTACTCACAGATAGTTCAACACATTTAAGTAAAGCTGCTTCGGACTCATTACCATAACATTGACGTTGTAACACTGGCTGCGCTAAATTTTCTGGATCTTGTTTGAAATCAGCTCGATTACACAATATAGCGCAACGCGCCAGAGCCAACCAACCAGGTGCATTCTTGTCAAAGGTGGCATCTTAATTTCTCAAATATCATTTTTTCCTAGTTCTTCCTTAACGAGAAATAACTCACTTTGTTGATATTCACCAGTATCCGCTTCGACGATCCGATTATCAAACCACATATGAGCAATTGTCATTCGATTTTGTGTCAATGTACCGATTTTATCCGCACAGATGATTGATGTCGAACCGAGAGTTTGTACAGCTTCCAAATTTTTCACCAAACAATTCTTTTTCGCCAATCGTTTTGCTGTTAATGTTAAACATATCTAAAGCAATAGTCAGAAAAATATTTTATTTCTAATTCCTTTTCAATAGTCGCTATTTACCATCACAGTGGCAAGAAAACCTTTTGGCACAATGGCAATAACAATACTAACGAGAAAAATGATTGCTTCGATCAATGGAAGCCGAGAATGAGTGCGATGATAAAGAAGGAAACGCCCAGAAAGATTGCTATACCAGTGATGATATGGATAAAGTGAGCGATCTCTTTGGCAATTGGCGTGCCACCAGTGGATAGACTCGAAGCTAGATTTTGAATACGGCCCATTATGGAACAATCGGCCGTACGAATGACAAGACCTTTAGCGGTGCCTGATTAATTCATAAAGGTCAACAACATATTGCACAAAAAATATTGAACTAACCGTGTACCGCAAAGGTGCCGAGAAAAGCCAAATTTTTGGTTTCCAGTGGATTGTCATTGGTATATTCAGTCGAACGCGATGGTGGTTCTGATTCTCCGGTCAAGGAAGAATTGTCGACTTTGAATTCACCAGATTCGAGAATGCGAATGTCGGCTATCCATGCAGAAAGTCAAATGAAAACTCGTTGTATTACAAAAAGGAACAAACCGGGTATGCGATCACCATCATTGACTTCAATTATATCACCTACAACTAAATCGTCGCTTTTCATTACCTTTTTCTCACCATTACGAATAACAAGCACTTGCTAGGTTGAGAAAACAAGACGATCACATAATCGCGTGTAATCTATATGCTTACTTGAGGCACCCTAGGCCACACCAGAACACTAATAAACAGGATTATTTCAAACAACTCATCTTACATGTTTTTGAACGAGTCCATGATGCGTGAACGTTTTGCTTCTTGATAGTATGAAAAGTAGCCAGTGATAATCACTACGACAGTCAGTGATATGCCGAGCCATAACTGAAATTTTTATAAGATGTACATATGAAAAGAAAAGGGTTGACTGTACGTACATTATCGTTCGGCACATCTTCGTGATATCTGGCATGTGTAATGCCATATGCAATAAAACACAGAATAGCACCAATCAAAAGCAAAAGTGAAAAGCCGCCAAACATTTGTCTAAAGAATTTTAACCATTCTGGTTCTGTCGTCGGCGGTGACAACGTATTGGGACCATCACGATCAAGTACTTTTCGAACTTCGGCATCTGATAAACCCTATGGGATGGCGATAAACGTTTCGCATCGAGGTAATGATTTGTCATACTAACTGTTTGCGGATCAGTATTATAGCGTTGATAAAGATCAACAAGATCCAGTTTGTGCTCATCCTAAATTCACAAAATAAAAATCATTTTTCGATTCAGTTTTACTGTGAATACATAACTAAAAAAGATACTCTAAAGATAATCAATAAGAGAAAATGAAACAAGATATTATTTGCATAGCAAGATAACAATTGGATCGACGTTTTTACTTACAAATTCAATATCTCGTTTGAGGTTGTTTAAATTATCTTCTTTCTTCTCTAACTTATTCTTCCTCTGTGGAATTGTCGTTTTCATTATTTCGCTTGATTTCTTTGTTGATTCTTCATCATTGTCACTGACGTTATTTATCGGCGACTGTCCGACGTCTCTTCTGCGAGCCTGCAGTTTTTTTTCAGAAGACCAAACACTTCAATATGTACAGATTTATTCGAGAAAAAACATACCATCTGAGGCTTTGTTTGTAAGTGAATCTGATGTTTACACCAACAATCGTAGGGTTCCAAAATTCACAATTCAAAAACAGGTAGTCGGCAAAGAATGGATAAGCTCGGTCATAGAAATCTGCACAAGCAAACAGACTCCTAATCATTGTCTAAGACCCCGCTTTCCATCAAGAAAAATTCTACTGAGAATTCAAAAATCACAGCAGAATTCAAACTACATCACAAAGTATAGTGCACGACACGGATTGGTGAATTTTCAGTACGGAATGTTAAGCGCAATGATGTTTAACATCAAGAAAAATCAGCACATAGATGATTATTATCACGTGATGGTTAATGAGCTAGTGCTGGATTCGACAAGCGTGCAAATCATAATTCCATTTTATATGTTAGCGAAAGTTTTTGCGGAAAATCGAGCAATTTTACTTTCGTGACAGTTTGCAGTTGTAGTACATGATGTTTCTTGAGTACTACGAGTAGGAATGGTGGGTTGTTCATCGAATTTGTTAAGTCCAAATGCTCCAGGTTCAAATTTTCATGTATGATATTTGGGTGATTTTATAACATTGTTTATAGTAATGCATGTATGTAGACGAGAATGACAATGAAGTAATTAATACGTTTTACAACGCCAGTACACCTTTTCACTTGTTAATCGGTTCATTATATATGAATATCCATTAACATCTAATCGTGAGTTTGTTTTTCTTGTGACATTACTAGATATTGTTGCCATATTCAAAAACAGAAGTTTTTCAAGAAAAAAGTATTCTGTTATGAATTACGCCAGTTAGGTATTCTTTTTTTAATACGTTGATCACTAACAATTGGATCAAGTTAAGAGTATTGATTACTTTTCGTAATCCAGTTTTATAATAGATTGCATTGCTATTGATGATTCTTCTCATTTAATAAACTCAGTATATTACGCTGATGTTTGTTGGTATTGAACATTGTCGTGATGCTTATTCCTTGTGCTTAACATTCCGTGCTGAAAATTTCGTTTCCCTGCATCCATATAGACTGGCTTTGCTCTGAGTAAAAGGAGCGATAACCTCCAATTTCAACAGATCAGTTCTAATTTTATATAGGATTATTTTAACTGAAAAAGTTTATCAGCGCCACTACTATGCAATTAAAATGCGAAACTCACATATTTCTCACAATTTTTAAGAAGTACTGTAAAAATAGAGACGAAGCGATTAAATGCGTCCAAACAACGCAATTCAGAGATTTACATTCACAATTTTGATCAAATCGATGGAATAAAAAATAACTGAATATCTCTGTAAGGAAGAGATCCACCATCAATACAAGCAATAGCGGAGGGTAAACAAAAGTCTGTAAGAGAGAGTGCGTCATAATACCATCCATGATCGTAGGAGAAACCTTTTTTATTTTTCGATTTTAATATCTCCAACAAAAAGTCGGGTTCAACCATAATCAAATCCAAAACATTGGACCATTTTGTTTTATCTATGAAGAATGTGAGCTCTTAAAATTGATGTGTTCGGGTATGTTTAGTATTTTGATATTATCTCATGAACGACTTGACTGTTCGATCTGAACGATATCTCAAAAGATATCTGTGTAAATAAAAATAGCAAAATATCTGATTATAATTCATTTTAATCGCAATGACCAAAGACTAAGTAAATAGTAGTTGATATTGTATCTTCAAGTTTGATATTTTGGATTTGTTTATGGTTGAACCCGACTTTTTGTTTAAGATATTAAAATCGAAAAATAAAAATGATTTCTCCGACGATCATGGATGATCTTGTGGCACACTCTCTCTCTCTTAAAAACTTTTTGTTTACCCTCCACTATTACTTGTATTGATAGTAGATATTCTGTATTGCAGTTGGTGTGCCTGCTCGACTTTGATGTGCGTGTGCAGTGATGCGCGATCAAAACTGAAAGCAACGCGATGTAAATAAATAAATGATGACTATCGTACTTACACTTTTTTTTTCTCTCAAGAAGAAGCAGAGAATCGATGACGGTAGGAGGCGTATGCATACAAAAAAATATAATGCGTTGCATTTGCCGTGATATGTAACACGCTCTGTGACACATTAGAGTGCGATACAGAGACGCAACGGCGACACAATTTTTAGTAGCAAATGCAAAAGTTGTTTCACTCTGTGATACTGTTAGATGTGTGTATCTTCACTTCTCTTAATTAGAAGCGAAATCAGAACTAATGCACAACTGATAGCTAGAGTGTAAAAGAAAGTTAGACGCAATATCTAGTTGTTACTACACGTCAGTGGCAGGAATGCAATGAAATCGTCAATCTGACTACCACATATGTATTGAGGGAGAGTAGACGAAGAAAATCGAACAGATGAAAGGAAAGGAAAACGAAGAAAAGAAAAGAAATATGGCCATAGTCAATTACTCTACTAGCTAATGTGGAGGATTGATATCATCATTTTTCTAACATGAATCTATTAATTCATTGGTTCAGGTCATTTTATAAAAGGATCAACTAAAAAGATAAGTTCGTCGATAAATTAGATATCGTTTATAACATCGCTATATCATATTTTCACCTTGATCGTTTTTATTTTCTCTTTTTTTTTTAGTATCATTGACTAGCGTCATCTCTATCATAAATAACCAAACCAAAAAAGAAACAAGTAAAACTAGATTACATTCAAGTTTCACTCAATTTCGAAATTGGATGCGAAGCTCGAAATGTCGATTAACGACAAGTCGAGAAATCATCAAAACGAATTTTGAAAAGTAGACATTGTCACATTCATTACTAACAAAGGAAGGTCCTCAAGTTTGTATCCAAGATTTCAACTAAAATTGCATGGTTTGCTGCACCAAATGCCCTGATGTCAAGTATGAAACAATTATCGCCTGAGACTGATCCAATAAAAAGTTGTACCCAAAACACTTTTTTAACTATTTGATGCATACATATAGCTATGTACATATACTGTTTCTAAAGTATTGTATTTGTTTCTAAAAATATTGTCTGATGGCAGACATCGCAAAGACGTATATGCATTGAATTTCTTTGCTACTAGTATTATAGTATGGCAACATTCTATAAAGGGTATTTCCTAATAACTGACAATGGATGGGTGTGAACAGTTGAGCGAAAAGATTGACCATATTCGGGTCAAAAGAAAGCTTTCAACGAGAAACTAACGAATTTAAAATATGAACAGCGTATGGCGTACTTAGAGGAAGTTATTTAAATTTCGAGATATGCGAAAGGACAGGGGCGCATAAGAAGCCGATTTGGCCCATCCAATATTTTCAGTAAATTTATTGCCCATCGTATGTGGAAAAATGTGGCGATTCTTTTGGCAATAAATTGAAGTCAAACTGTAAGGGTTATAAGCTATTTTGAGGGAGAATACCTGCAAAAAAGTATTGAAGTCTCATTGGGCTCATAGTTGTCTGGTATTAGCTCAAAATATACGACTCTTAGGCAATGTTTCAAGCTCAATCTATATTGGTCAGAAAGAGCATTTAATTCTGCATAGTTTCATGTAAGAACTAATATTTTTTCATTAAAAATTTAATCATGGAAAATACTGTCCTTTCACAGGGGTATGCTTCGGTACCTCACATNATTATATAAACTTAATAGTTAATTAAATTACTTTCAATGAATAATAGTAATAAGAATCAATTGATGTATCCTTTGGGAATCATGGCTTAGCCAACGAATGAAATTTTCTCCATAAGTTGTATTTAATAAGGACATTGTTTATTGTAGATATTTTCATTAAAACCTTTTAAAAATCTTTAAAGTTATTTTTTGACCCATTCTCGTTACTCCTCCACATGGATGCCAAGAAAGTATTTTGAACATTCTTGTAGGGAGTACGGGTGTAGGTTGATATTTGATTGAGAATATCACAAAATCAAGCTTTGGAGTATCTTTAGAGGTCACTGTTAACTTGATTTCAACACATAAAATCGAAATATTCTGGTGGCCCCAAAAGA